CCCCCCCATAAGATGGTGTTCTTAGAGATAGGAACATTCCCAAAGTTTCAGTTTTCTATCTCGAACCGTTCAAAAGTTAGAGAGGGAGGCTGGGCTTTGGTAACACCTGTAAATGCGAAAATGCATTTTTCTTGCGTTGTTGATGCTGCGAATCGGCCTCAAGAAAAGTGTGGGATGGGATGGGCCTTAAAAAGTAAGCCATGCGCAGTGTTTTTGTCCATCGGACAGACTAGTAGCACAGGCAATAACACTACTTTCCTTTTTTTACCAATTTTTCGTAGTGAATTGGCAAGCACATGCAAATTGGGACTTAAAATTTTAGACTCTGTTCATGGTAGGAAAGGAGGGTGCAAGAATTATTTCATCAGTGGATATTTTCGTAGTTCCGAGGAGAGCCTAGCAGGGTCAAAGGATATAGTTCCTATCGATTTTCTTAAAGCAAATTTCGCATATTTTTTTTCTCCTTTTTTTGGGTGAAGGGAGACTGACAAATTGGGCCTCCAATTTCTAGAGACCTTATTTCAGTAGATTAAAACGGCGATAATCGTTTTGTACCACTTCAGAGGCAATAGCAAACGGCGAGAGAAAATTTCTGAAAATTTGATGATACAATCATGTGTTTATTAACCTTTCCGTTGCCTCTTAGATGGTACCAAATGCGACCATTACGAGATAATTTATAAGCTCCTTTTTCAACTTTGAAAATTCTTCGAAAATTGAAGGCCCAATTTTTGCCTAGGTACCTAATTACTAAAAATATTTGACGAAAATCACTGCAAAGTCGATAAAAATCGTGTTTGCAACCTTGATATTAGTACCAACCTGCCCAGCAATATATTTACTACAGTCTCTTAATGTCTTGTAAATAGGCTTTTTAGAAATAACAAAACTCTCATTTTCTCATGCTTACCAAGCCGGGTTGAAAATTAGTGGAAAGTAAAAATGAAGAGGCTTAAGCCATATCAAGCGATTTAGCTGAATTATATGCTTACTCATGGACCAAGAAACCGAATATCTAGAAAACCAATAATTGCCCTTGATTTTTTATGAAAATGTTTCCCTAAAAACCGGAGGCAGATTTTCTGCACCTTTGCAAAGTCACTTGCAGAAATCTGTAATATCTGGAAATGGCGGTCGCAATTATGTATTCAGCTTTTCTAGGGCATATGGAGGACAACAGATTATTTTCATCCAAAATTTAATTAGCATGCTTCAATGAACAACGAGATGCAAGTTTCAACTCCAGAAATGAGGACCAAGGCGTTTTTATTAAGTTTACAAAGTTTGAATGATTCTACAGCAGTGGCGTAAATGAAGGGTTGCACTGAGGGGGCGTCCACGGCTCTGAAGGGCCCAGTCACCTCCTGAAATTTTGAAATGGAATTCCCTCATCGAGGCTTGTGGGGTATTAAGGTGGGCCGAAAGATAGTCTGCGGGCAGGCCCACGCTTGGTGAGTCATGTATCTCTTTACAGAAAACGCATGAATGCATGAATTAAAAAAAGAAAAAAGTTAATTTGTACACACGCTGAAGAGCACAAGTCTGGAACATCACCCCACAATAAAAACCTTGCGTAAGCTACTCCAAAGGGGGGGGGGGGGTAAGGTCTAAGTTTGGCTCACGGGGTCTTACGAAGGGGGGGGGGAATCAAGTCAAGTCTAATGTGAGCCTCTCTCTTTAAGAAAAAATAATAATTTTGAATAGAAACAAAAGGTGGCCAGTTTTCTCTCTTTCTCTGTCACTTTCTGGAAAATTGGGGGGGGGGGCGATCAGGGCAATTAGTGAATTCCAAAAGGGATTGAAAAGTAGTTGCACTGTTGCCTCACAAGAGGTGGAGGTTTAGAAAGTCATCCAAAAAGCCGTAAGTACTACTTGAATCCCTACCAGAACAAATTAGTAAACAGTTAAATAATAAAGCGAAAACTGGCAACTATGGCGCTTTAGAAAAGAGCCTTTATAATGGAAATGATTAATTTTAGTCCTAAGTAGACGAGCAGAGGTGAATTAATCATCACTGCCATCGTGTGCCACCTGAAATTGCCAGTTTACGATTCAAAACATAGGCGGTCGCGCATCGACCCGCTCCATTTTTGTGCTTTTGCTCCCTCAATTTTAAAGATAAACTTATGATGTGTATACCAAATCAACGCTAGAAGAACGATTTACAACTTTTACTGAAGGGTATTTTTCGATACGGGTCTTCATAAGGACGTAAGTACAACAAATTCCGGTCCATAATTCTCAATCTTCAATTTCTTTGAATTTTACTCACATTTAAATTACTTTGACTTTCAAAACTTTTGTTTGTTCGAAAAGTAGACTCAATTACTTACAGTTTTAAAAAATTGAGCTCTCCAATTGCGCTTTATTTCTCGCTCCGCAGTGAATTTGTGAAAATATGTCTAATTTTCAACTTCATCGGACCACTGTGCGAGATCCCCCAAGAGGATTTATGGGGACTTTTGGCTAAAAACAGCTTTTTATATGAAGAATAGATTGGGCTTAAATCCAGCCGTAAGTTAATTTTTGGCCATCAAAATGCTTCGTTTACTGGACTATTAGTTTTTGTGGGGAACCTGCAAATTGCACTTGTATTGCGCGGCATGGCTATGATAATGCATTTTTCAAAACTCCGGTCACTGCGATCAACATGACCCTAAACGACCAACCTAAAAAAAAGACTGAGACCAGTTTGGAGGCTGGAATGCGATGTTTAAAGAAGGTTTTTATCGAAACTCATTTTTGATCTAATGAATAGCACCTACCCATCAACTTGGCCAGAACATTTCAAAACATGGTGAAAATCATTTAATCATAATTCATTCTGATATTAGCTCAAGGCCTACTTTAAGTCTGGTTAGTCCAGGCAAATGGTCCACAAAAAAGACCAAAGTCTGCAAAAATCCTGGGTACTTATGTTTGCAGTCATTCCTATCCCACAAAAAAAACCCTTGGGAGGGTGCCATTCAGACGGCAATAAACTAGAGAACTTGACCGTCCCGATTTTACAGACAAACATATATGATATGAGAAATCGGGACGGCAATTAATTCTAGGGTTTGTCTCATGTTGGTAGGCCAGCCATTTTTCTAAAAAATAAATAAATAAAAAAAGGAAAAAATAGAAAACAGGAAAAAATAAAAAAATTGCCGTCATGCCGCAGAAAAGGAGGAACTTCTGCAATTTTATCAACTATAAGTGATTAGTACCCATTACAGAAATGGTACTCAATGCTAAAGTGATTTGTCAAACATGTCTGCGGCATGACGGCAATTTTTTTATTTTTTCCTGTTTTTTATTTTTTCCTTTTTTTATTTATTTATTTTTTAGAAAAATGGCTGGCCTACCAACATGAGACAAACCCTAGAATTAATTGCCGTCCCGATTTCTCATATCATATATGTTTGTCTGTAAAATCGGGACGGTCAAGTTCTCTAGTTTATTGCCGTCTGAATGGCACCCTCCCAAGGGTTTTTTTTTGTGGGATATCACTTCATTTTTCATCAGATATTTTACTTAAATCTACCAGAAAAGTATAACCAATTTTTTCAGAAAATAATAACGCCATCCACGATCTCACAGTGTAGATTTCTTAAATTTACCATCACAAAGCGATCCCTAAACTCCTGTAAGTGGCTTCAGTTGGACACGTCAATTATTGCTGCTTTCGCGCGACGCAGGATTGCGTGCAGTCAAATTGAAGGCGTTTTCCCCTCTCTTTTTTTCTGTTTGATTTTGTGCTTATTACGCGTACATCTGACGCCTTCAATATCACGTGATACATCTAATCATACTCTTAACTCTGTATTGTTGCTTGTCTGTCGGTTTTAAGGTTTTTTTTCTTTATTGCCGTCCGCGCCTCTATCGAGCGCTGGAATATTTCTAACTGGTCCCACTTTAAAATCACGAGTGACAGACATTTCTTATTGAGGAATATTAATTTAGTGAAATTAAAAGCTCACACAAAAAATTTTATGACAGATTCAGTCTAAATTACACAATCACTTATAAACCTGTGTACTTTTGTGACCACTTTTCAGGACCTTCCTAAAGTCTTTTGTAACAGTTATAACAACCAGCATACGTCATGTTGACTGCGAGAAAAAGTGCTTCAAATATTTATTAGTTGTATTAATTTTTAAAAAATAATTAAAAAAGGTGAATACTACAGACAAAGGAGCTTGTCTGCAGTGAAGCAGTCATTTTGAGTAAGACTCATCTGAAGGCGTACTAACAATGAAGTAATTAAATGCAAGTGCTCAACTGTAGTCTTAAATTTAAAGTTTATTTGAGCCACAAGTTTAAAAGAATTCTTTCGAATTAATTACGCTTCCCCCAAAATTTAAAAGCAACACTTTACTCCTACATCTATGATCTCTCTCAAATACATAATCCATTTATCTCACAAGGAATCAGGGAAATAGAGGGAGCTTTTACACGGTGACTTTTTAGGGAAAAGGCACTACGGTCAGCTAATGGAATGCAAAGGAGCTTCGAAAATTGATGTTTTTAATCAGCCTTTAAGATTTATCGACTCGTATAGGTAGCTATTTGGAAACAACTTTTTGTCAAAGTCTTGATTCTCTTCAAAGAAAATGAGATATGTTGATCGGTATGAAATTCATCTGCAAGAATCGTAGTTGCAATCTAATTTGAGGCATTTTTTTAATTCGATTGGAGAAGTATAATTTTTTTGACTTTAGCCTTTTGAGAGCCTGGTTTAAAGTTGATTTTTATAAAATCTTCATCCAACTACCAACATAAATCAATGTTCGTCTTCTTTTGAAGGGAACACAGAGGCTGGAGTAATTGAGAATCCCTTTTCCACAATATTCACCTGATCATTTTATCATTGATCCGCTGTAGATGAGTTCGTTAAGAAAATAAAGATTTTCAGCAGAATTATTATTGCTAATTTACAATTTTGCCTTAAAGAGGTCTGAAACGCCTTTTTGTGTGACATCAAAGAAAGCTTGCCAGATACTTATAAGACAATTTCGTGGAGGTAAGTTTCCTGTTCTTTTAAATGCAAGACAATTATGCAAAAGTATTAAAGAATGAGTTGATGATAACATTTTAATTCTTGCAATGAATCAATAAAGTGAAAACACAGAATTTTCTATTTTATAGACAATTTAATAATCATTTTATATATTTGATTTATGGATGCATTTAGAAATCTATGTAAGATTTGACTAAAATAACTGTGCATGAGTAACACTGAGATATAAAAAGTAAACAGAGTGAAGAAAAAACAGAAAGGGCTACTTACACAGAAACATTTTTTATAAAAGATTAAATTCCACATAATTTCCATTTGTCAGAAATGTTAATAAAAGGAAATAACACTGGCAAGGGAAACAATCATAAGATAGAAAGCTTCGGGAGGGTTCAATTTTTTTACCACATCAGAAAGCAGAACAACTGGTTACTTACTTAGTGTCATGAAAGGAAGAGCAAAGACTATAAGTATGATGTAACCGTGGAATATATATCAATGACTAAAGTGAAAATAAAATTGTAAATCGAAGTGTTATGTTGTGAATGTCCACTCACATTTTAGTTTTTCAAAAAAGACTAACTAGCGAGAGTCAAGCATAATAGTCACATTCACAAGTGGAGTTTCAGAATCCCATCTCATATTTTAATTTTGTACAGGGAAATCAACCAACACCGACTCGAATTTGTTGTAAATTTTCTTTCTTTCATGAAATTAAGTTCCACAAAATTTCAAGCATAAATGTCAGTTGGTTTTTTTCCAAAAATTTAGAACAGGAGCTGAGATTTTGAAACACTGCATGTAATGTGACGGTTTAGCTTAATTCCATCCAACTATCAGTTTATCTTCAAATTTTTGGTAGATTTTTTTACGCCTAAAAAGTTTTAAAGTGACATTTTAGCAGTTTTATTTAAAATTTAGTGTCTAGAATTGACGATTTTTTCCATTCCCTGATAATAACTTATTCCTTTCTAATTTCCTTGGAAATATTCCCTGCTGAAAACCGAGGATTTCCAATCATTAATCTCTAACTTTTCTTGAGGGGAAACAAGATTTTCCTCCGGATTTCAAGACGAAAATCAACTTAGCTATATTTAGTCTGGTTTCTCCTTTCAAGTCAAGTTCAGCAGACACTCAGTTTAGAAAAATAGTATGATCTCAGAGCAAAAAGAGAGGAATGTTCCTGCAATGGCCATTCCCAGAGAATTTGCCTAATTTTCCCTGAAGAGCAAAAAACAGTAGAGTAAAAATCATTCCTCAACCAGATATTTTGTTTTTTCCTTTCCTGGTAGAGAATAATTCAGCCAAAGTACTTCTGCTACTGAGGATGTAAGACAATGTTCTACAAAAAGAACCTGTTATTTTGATTAGAAATTTTGGACTGCAGGTTGTCATCGTCCTAGTAGGTTTTCCTAAAAATCTTATAATGGAGCATCCTTTGGCCAGCTTCCTTCATACTCCATGGTCTAGGCCTGAAATTAGGAAAAGAAAAAATTATCAACCTGGAGGAATAAAAAAACACAATTCTAAACATTAATTTTAGACAGCGTTTTATTTTCAAAAGAAGGAAACTAAATCATGGTATATAATCTGGAAAAATCTCAAACAGGTTTTAGATAAGATAGTAGAATTACTATCCAAAATGTTAGTCATAGTTACTGTCATTAGATAGTCAAAGATGTAAAGGCAGTGCCTAATAAAATGATCAAGCATGTAATGCTGGTGCAACTCTCAACCAACATTGATATCTAGGTTTGCGACGATACAGACTTCCTGTCATACTTACTCAATTTTTAAGAGAAAAACTACTTCACGTCAAATCTTAAAGACTTTCATAATTTTCCTCTTCCGTGTGTTGAAGATCCTGTAATAACTTCCGAGGAATGATGATGATTTGTTCTTTTTCAAAACAATAAATGGGAGCTGGGATTTTAAAACACCAGAAAAAATTGATGATTTGAGAGTTTCATTGTCGATAAGCAGCGTATCCATGTAGAAACAGCAAAAGCGTGTACCTTGCTTGCAGTGATTCAAATTCACTACATGTTTTAAAAGGAAACCAAATCAACATCATAGCTTCAACTTTTCATAGAATGTCCTTCACACAGGGAAGAAAAATAGACGGAAGTGTATCAGTGGTGAAACATCTAAGCTAAGAATCTCTATTTGCGATGCAGCACCATTTCTGTTACATTTTACCAACTTTATTGAAGGACCAATTGGACGTATTTCTATCAAACGGAACTATGTGCATCAAGGCATGAGCCCTGGGACTCATGAGAATATATGCGTAGCAGGGCTCATGTCATAATGCACATAGTTCCGTTTGACAGAAATGCGTCCAATTATCACTGTCATTGAACAGAATTCTTTATGAGCTCTCTTTGCATTTTTAAAAATGACCTCTGAAAATTTTATAAAAAAATCCCTAATAATAGACTGCTTTAATGACTAAGTCATCGCAGTTTCGATGGTTCAATTGTAAACAGACGCATAACCTTGTCGTAGTCGCACTGGGGTGAGAGTGCGTCTGATTTTCTTGTGATCAAATGGATTTATGACTTGTTGATGACACAATTTTAATCAACTACTTAACACACTAATATCACACAGAATTTAGGTATGAGGTTATCATCCATTGTTTTGGTTTGAACCATTCGCAAGAATGACGTCTAGCCACTAAATCAGTCTATATTCAACTAATAGGAAGTATTTATGCTAAATGGAACTATGTGCAAGTGGAAAGATGGGGTGTGCTCGTTAGTTGAGGGCCATAAGAATGAATGGGGATTTTAAGTGCCAGTGACGTCAGCGGTGACAACTGAGCTGGACAAGCTCGCCGCTTGTTCTTGGGGCACTTTCACTCATGAGCCCTGTCCACAACGCTCTTGTCACATGTCAACGGCTCACAAGTTAGCGCTCAGTTCCTTTTGATTTAATGTCAAATCCCGCTTTTCCATTTTCTCAAAAGGAACTATGTCCACTTTTAAATTGGACGTATTTCTATCAAACGGAACTATGTGCATGAAGGCATGAGCCCTGATACCCATAAGAATACATGCACAACAGGGCTCACTTTATAATGCACATAGTTCCGTTTAATAGAAATACGTCCAATTGTTTCTTATTCAGCTTCCGTGAGCACACCCTATCTTTCCACTTGCACACAGTTCCATTTAGCATAAATACATCTAATAGATAAAGGAAGATAGTAAATTTTGAGAAACATCAGTGGAGCTCCAATTTATTGTAGTTTCACCATCAGTAGTAAAGAATGATTTAAATACTCATTACCTCACTCAACGCAACTTTCGAGTAGAAGTAAAGAATTTTCCTATGAATAGATGAGTTTACACCAAGTCACACTTCCTCTTGGGCTGCAAAAATCAAGCGAGGCATACGGAAATGCGTTAACGTTCAATCTGTATCTGAAATATAAAAAATATAATCACTAAAACAGAATACATGATGCAACCATGACTGGGTGTATCTAGTTGTTATGATGAACCAAATTAGATTGAAAGAGATGCACATAGAATGTATTTCTGATCTCCTTAATTCCAATTTCAATACATTGGGCTGAATACAGTTGGCTATAATCTTCCGATCAACATTTACCGCTGAAGCTGTAGGTATCTTTGCAAACCAGGAACTTCGAAGGTACCCCATAGACAATATCACATGGCAATGATACTTGAATTAATTATAGCGCCCTGAGAATTCAGTGAAATTATTGAGGTCAAGTTCACAGAGTCAAACTACATCATCAAAAAGTACAGAGATGAGGCGACTGAGTTATGTCTTGATCAGCCATATTGGAACCCTATGGTCACAATGATTCAATGAAAGTTTTTACTTACAATGACTACATAATAAAAATAGAACAGTTACCGACTGCATGTATTTATACAAAAAGGAACTGTGTGCCCACATGCCCATAGTTTGCACGCAACATAGTTCCTTCAGGCACAGATACGTGTAAATGAACATCAGAGGTTATCGCTTTTAGTGAAAAATGTAACCAGATTTGCGCTGAAATTTCAAGCGCTCTCTAAATCTCAAGGACTTACTTTAGTTCCCACAGTTTACTTACCTACAACTGGACGTATTTCTACCAAACAGAACTATGTGCATTAACACATAGGCCCCAAAACTCATAAGAATATATGCATAGCATAACAGGGCTCATGTCTTAATGCAAATAGTTCTGTTTGGCAGAAATACATTCAGCTGAGCATGCTTACTCTAGGCATGCTCAAAGGTTTTAAAATTGGCTTATCCGTATAGCCAACGAATGCATTTAAAGAAGTGTTACGTAGGAAAAGCGCCAGAACCACCTGGCCACCAGAAGGCTAGAACCACCACAACCACAGTGCCATCAATGTAGAGCAAACATCATTTTCTACGACTCTTAAACCTAAAGAATCCCATGAAATTTCTAGTTTTTTAAGATCCAAGTAACAGCCTAACAGTACGTATTCGGCTCATCGTGTCTGGATTCTGGCCAAAGTCTAGTGGTGAAGGGCTGAAAAGTCTTACCTCACAATGAGTCGTGCACACTGAGAGCTTCTTGAGAGAAAGCAAAGTTATTCTAAATAACCATTAGCTTAAAACTTGGGCTTAGCTAGTTTCAGTAACAGGTCATAACAGGTGCTTCCAAGCTTCTGATCTGAACATGGACGCTTTATAGGGTGGAGCGTTTTTGGGCTTTTTTTTTATTTTGAAAATGGACATAGCAGAGTAGTTGTGAAATGGTCTAAAAGTAACGCCTGAATTTTCCTGAATTTTTTCGTCAACGTTTAGGCCTCCCGGATTGACGTTGACGTCAAAATTAGCGGAAAATCCGGGTTTTTTGACGATAACTTGGCAACAATGGCAAATACGACAAAAATGCATAGAATCAGAGTTGTTGGAAATTAAATTTCCGACAAATCACTTTCTTATCATTTTTTCTGTAAGTGCAACCGTTTTAGTGTAAAATTCGAAAACCCGTATTTTTCCGGATATTCGGCACAAATTCTCGTTCAGTCCGGGAGAAATACGGTAGAAATACGGGAGAAAGAGGGCTAACTCGGAACAAATTGCGTGATGGACTTTTCCTACAAGAATACCATCATCGGATTGGCCTGAATAACACAAAACATACAAAATGTTTTCCACGGCTCCACCGCGGAACACCCCTTAAAATTCCTAAAATTCAAAAAGGCGGCCGTGTTTAGATTATCAAGCATCAAGGTAATTTAAAATGTGCATCTCGTGTGGTATGAGGTGTCGTTTCCTATGTCTTTTTAGTCGTAAATTTCAAATATAGTGTTAAAAAAAGCCCCTGGTCAAACGGGGTGCATCAAATCCAGGATGGCGGCCAACTTTGAACGGCGGGAGGGTACCTTATAAAGTTTGATTAGTGTATTACATTTTAAATTGAAAGTAAGGTAACAATCTCTGGATAATATTGGTTTAGCATTTTAATTAGAGGTTCAAAATTAAATTGTCTTTTATAAGACCTCATCTATGATCCGATGAATGCCATCTGGTCAGGAGGCGTAAAACTGGCAATCCAGGCCGAATCCGCAGGTTACTAGGGTTTAAGATGCCGCAATGTTTGCGGTGAATTTAGATAATTTTGTTCGTAAATTTTAAATTTACAACAGAAAATGCCCCAAAATCGTGCGGGGTCTCCCGATTATGGGATAAGTGGATGACTTCTAAATGTGAAGGACGGAACAGAAAATTTCAAAGTGTGATAGTAAAAAATCTTTTAAATAAATCTAACAGTTTTCTTGAATGTTCACAATTAATATTACTCCTCAGTAAGAGCTGAAATCGAGGATGGTGACTATCTCCATATGAAGAATCAATAAAATGGCACTACAAAATAAATGTACAATTCAAAGAGAGACTGCTGAATAAGCGATATTTACATGCAATTGAGTTACCTATTACTAAAAGAAAACGAATGAAAAATGAAAACGTTGATGATTCATACCACCGGATGATGTTCCTCAGTATATTTTTTGAGGAGTGATGTCGTCAACTTTAGATTTTAGATAAAATTGATTTTTTCTTTTATTTCGTCATGATTCTCACGTGACCTAATTTGCTTTATTCACATTTCGAATAAAAAGAGTCTTGGTTCTCGGGGGGAATAAAAGGATTTTAAACGCGGATATTACTTACACGGAAATCGGTACCTTATCTTCGAAGATGTATAATAAGACATATTTTAAAATAAGACGTAATGCTAAAAGGAACTATGTTGCACGCAAACACCGTTCAGATATTGCCTTCCAGCATTATACCTACACCTCTGGTTAACACTACTGCCTTTTACAGGCAGTCGTCGTGGATTTGAGACACCCTGTTTGACCATTCATTTTCCACTTAATTTTTTACTTCACATTTTACCAAAATTACACAGGGAATAATACTTCACTTCACTCATTGCGTCATTATTTAACTTGCTTAAGTCCTCCCACCCTTCAAACTTATCAGTCTTTTTTGAGTTTTGTGCAGCCCGATTGACCAGATGGTATTCATCACGTCATACTGGAAATCTACGACGAAAATTACGATGAAACAACCAAAGCATGTATCGGTTTGCGATGCTGCAGAATGCTTGGAATTTTCAAACATTGCAAACGAGATACCTGGTTTGGGAATTTCGCCGTCGATATTCTCTAAGGAACTAATACCTCACTTGACTTATCACGCGAAGAAGTGGTACCAGGACGAACTATGAGGGGGGAATGTGAAAGCATATGGGACAAACATACCCTCCCGCCGTTCAAAGTTGGCCGCCATCCTGGATTTGATGCACCCCGTTTGACCAGGGGCTTTTTTTAACACTATATTTGAAATTTACGACTAAAAAGACATAGGAAACGACACCTCATACCACACGAGATGCACATTTTAAATTACCTTGATGCTTGATAATCTAAACACGGCCGCCTTTTTGAATTTTAGGAATTTTAAGGGGTGTTCCGCGGTGGAGCCGTGGAAAACATTTTGTATGTTTTGTGTTATTCAGGCCAATCCGATGATGGTATTCTTGTAGGAAAAGTCCATCACGCAATTTGTTCCGAGTTAGCCCTCTTTCTCCCGTATTTCTACCGTATTTCTCCCGGACTGAACGAGAATTTGTGCCGAATATCCGGAAAAATACGGGTTTTCGAATTTTACACTAAAACGGTTGCACTTACAGAAAAAATGATAAGAAAGTGATTTGTCGGAAATTTAATTTCCAACAACTCTGATACTATGCATTTTTGTCGTATTTGCCATTGTTGCCAAGTTATCGTCAAAAAACCCGGATTTTCCGCTAATTTTGACGTCAACGTCAATCCGGGAGGCCTAAACGTTGACGAAAAAATTCAGGAAAATTCAGGCGTTACTTTTAGACCATTTCACAACTACTCTGCTATGTCCATTTTCAAAATAAAAAAAAGCCCAAAAACGCTCCACCCTAACGCTTTATTGGTTCAGTTGATATTGATAACAACATCAACATCAACAACTTGATGACGACTGGCACAATGCACATTTGCCAATTTTCTAGTTGCGCCAGTTCTAAACAATGCGGGAAATTTGAAGAAAGACCTGCATCTACTGCATCCTCTACAATATAAAATTAAAATAATTAATATAACTTACCTTATTATCTACTCATGAGGAATTAATAATGAATAATAATCATTCACTCTCGGGTGTTCCGTGTGCGAGATCCGTACGCTCTACCGCTCTCCGTGCTGCTATTGGCTGAGCGTCATTCTGTGACGTCACGCGTACAGATATTTTAAGTTATTTGCAAAGCAAATAACTTTTTACAGGGAAACTTTTGAAAGTTCTAATTGCGAAAAGGCACAATGGGAATCCATTACGCGTCGATTCATATATGGTGTTAAAGGGTTTTGTTGAGCCGTTAAAGAGCTTTGCCCGCTTAACTGAACATTTTGGCCCAAAAAATGCGATATTAAGTTGATTTTTGTATTTATACACTCTGACGAGGCCAGTATTTTACGTGTACATCTGACGCCTTCAATATTACGTGATACATCTAATCATACTTTTAGCTCTGTATTGTTGCTTGTCTGTCGGTTTTAAGGTTTTTTTTTTCTTTATTGCCGTCCGCGCCTCTATCGAGCGCTATAATGTAATTTTTGACGCTGAATCCGAATTTCAACATAGCGTATCAAAAATTCAGACTGCTAATTTGCCGAATTTGGCAAAATTGACTTTCTTGGTGGACTATGGCCTGTTATTCTTTTATTATTTGTTTATTTTTATTCCTTAGTTTGTAATCTGAGACAAATGAATCAGAATCAATTGAATTTATTTCGAAATAAATCATTGTCACAATCTTTGTCACTAGAATGAGGTGTAAACATGTCGCGATGGTAATGCTCTCTACTAGAGTGCTAAATTTACATTGAGGCAAGTAGATAATTTACATCTAATAGGTTCCTGTCCAGGTGACAAGGAACACTAATTCATATAAAATAAATGTATTTATTGTGACACAGTGAAGTTTTCAAAGACTCTGGATGATCTTAATACTTTGTTGTGTCAAATCAAGTGGGAGTGATTTGGCGGTTTGAAGTTTGCGGCTCCAAAATCTTTGTTCATGGACAAAGCTACCTAAAATTCTATTCTTGCATGTATTTGGCACATCGTTACTTACTTTACTTACAACTTATTCATTGAGACATCAGAAAGTGTCCCATGAAAATCAGAAATTCTGAGTTATCATGACAAACACCCCACAGAAAATTTTACCTCCTGCTATCATGGATGGCAACTAATGTCTTTCATATAAAGCAGAACAGCGGTTAACAGCAGAGGAAGAACATTTTGACAAAAGCGGTTGTAGACACTTCGAAAGGGGGAGGGGGGGGGCTTTCCCCTGAAAATTTTCGAAACAACAAAGAGTCTAAAATGCAGTTTGAGCCAACTTCGTCATGAACCATTAGTAAATATATGCGTCTCTCCTTCCTCTTTCCTCCGTTCCTTCTATCTTTCTTCCTCCTTTTTTTGTGCAAAACTGGGGGGGGGGGGGGCGCATGCCCTGTATGCCTGCCCCGCTTCTTGAATCCGCCAATGGATTTTGATGATCTTCAGCCGGTTAATGAAACTGAAAGTGACATTTCTCTAACCTATCAACTCCATCAAGTTGAACAATTGCCTCAGTCTTCTCTGCCGGCCAACGTTGAAACGGAAGGACCATCGGATTCACAGAAGAGCAAATGAGAATGAATTGAAAAGGATCAGTGCATAAAGCAGTTATTGTTTCTGAAAAATCTCAAATTGGATTATTGTTATCAACACTCTGTTTTAGATTTTCTTTGCTTTTAAATTTTAATGGTTTTTTTGATGACTGAGAAATTGAATGTGTGTAAGGACCCGTTTGTACGTGCCTATTTGTGTGGAAAGAATAATTTAAACACAAACGATGGAATCCAGAAGCTTATAAGAATACTAGGGGGCTACGCCCCCTGGCCGCTACGCGGCCCAACCCCCTGAAGGCGCTCCGCGCCATCAATGGGCCGCTTCGTGGCCCTATTTTTACCCTCCTATCAGTGTTAGTTTTATTTTTCCCCTAAACAATTACGATATGAGGTATACTTTAATTTTAAACTTTACTTAAAATTACTTAAAAATTAAAAGGACGCGTTTTGGAATGACTG